AGAAGGCTGCGGGGACACCTGATTGCGGCCTTTCAATACCTAAAGGAGGCCTATAGGAAAGATGGGGAAAATCTTTTTAGTAGGGCCAGCAGTGACAAGACAAGGGGTAATGGTTTTAAACTAAACCAGGGTAGGTTTAGACTAGATATAAGGAAGAAGTTCTTTACAATGAGGGTGGTGAAACACTGGAACAGGTTGCCCAGAGAGGTAGTGGAGGCCCCATCCCTGGAAGCATTCAAGGCCAGGTTGGATGGGGCTCTGAGCAGCCTGATCTGGTTAGCGGTGTCCCTGCTCACTGTAGGGGGGTTGGATTAGATGGCCTCTAGGGGTCCCTTCCAACCCAAAACATTCTATGATTCTATGATCAGGTTTGCAATGATCCTAAAACTGGAAGTGCTAAAACTGAAAGCAAACACGGAGGGCTGAGAAAACCCTTTGAGTGCCCTGGGGCAGGCTGTGAGCAGCAAGGGGCTGGTCCTTGTTAATGGTGCAGCAGTTCTGGTGGCCCGGAAAGCAGAGTGGTTTGTGGAGCCCCAAGCAAGTGTCGCTGAGCCTGGGAGCTCACTGATGATGATGTATTGCTGTCTGTGAGGAGCACCGAGGATTGCCTTTGTCATGCTGTACTGTAAGGCCCCCAGACAAGGCTTGGAGGATAGAAATAATTTCATAGCCGATAATTAGGAGACTGGCCATGGCAGTCTCTTCTGGTGTTCCATGTAGTAACTGCTTTTCTTAAGTATTAGAAACTTTGCAGTTGGAAGAAGTGAGTGGGAACAAAACTCTGTTGTCCCTTGTCTGAAATGTGTGATATAGTCAAGCTGCACGTTGGAGTCACTCTACAGTATCAGCACTCTTGGGTTTGGCAAGATGAAGCTGTATATAGATGCATTCCAAAGGTGGTTGCTTTTTTATGTACAGCTATAACCTCTGCAAGAATTGCCATAAAGTCTACTGGTCTGAAGTTTCTTCTCAAAAAACCCCCAGTAGGACAGAAAATAAACCTAAAATGCCACTTTAAATTGTGATGCTTATAGTTTTTCATCTAATACAATTCCCTGCTAGTATTTTTCCTTAAATTTCCATTCCTCCCACCTTCTTTGGGTGCTAAAATTTGGCTAAACTTCCTTAACAGAAAGTCTTTTATGTAGTCCTCTGGGTTGTTTTCTGGTTTTGATCAAAGGCTCTAAGGGTTTTCCCACTTCAATCCAGAGTTAGCCATCAAAATCTCTTTTCAGACAGACTGATGTTTCTGTCATAAAAGGGCTTAAAACCTGCTTTTCCTTGAGGACAGAAGTACCGACTCTTTCTGTGGCATCTGTCTGTCACATGCGAGTTGTTGAGATTTGCATGGCTGCTAAGCGGAACTTCATCTTAAATATCCGTGATGCACTGCTTTATCAGTAAGTAGTTTAGACCAATCTGTGTATTTTATTCAGGACAGCACAGTTTTGGCTGCTTTTTGAGTATGTGCATCTTTCAACCTGTTTTTGAGGGAATGTTGCTGTTTGATAGTGTGTTCCTGAGTCTGGAAAGCCTAAAAAACAAACATCTGCAGGAGAGAACTGTCCTCCAAACGTGGAGCGCAGCATGGTCTTTGGGAACACCATCTCCCAGCCATGCTTGATCTCGGAGGATCTCAGGAGCTGGAGTACCCAGGAGTGAGGTGGTTTTATTGATGCTGAAAGCTTGGGTGGAGCAGGATGCTTGTGAACGCTGATTGCTATGAAATAAATTCAGATTTTGCAGGGCTGGATATACAGTCTCAGTCTGTATCTGCAGATATCCTCCTCGGGAAGAACACCACCACTGGCTTCGCTAGGTAGCCTCCTGAGGCTCCTCTCGCTAAAAGCTTTATGGGTTTATGAGGCAATGGAGGTATTTTGCCCATCTGTCAGGGTCAGCATGCCCCCTGAGTAGAAACAGACAATTCCTGGGTAACAACATGCCTCATCTGAAATGGCATAAGATTTCCACGGCCCTTTCTGATTTATCATCTGTCTGACGCTTGGCATTTATTTG